ATATCCATACAAATTGTACAGAATGTCCAGGATAGTTTTCCGGGGACAAATGTTGTCGCCTGTTGAACGAGGTGACCTTGCTCGGGTCCCAGGTGTACGGTTCCTAAAATGGCTGCCATATACACGTCCTGCCATATACACGTCCACTAATAGGAGACGCGGAAGGTATTAAACTGATCAGAACAATACTAAACACACCACTAATAAGGTTTCTCTCCTGTATGGCTCCTCAAATGATGCTTAAGATTAGAGGCGGCTGAAAAGCATTTCTCACACTCAGAACAAAAATATTTTTTTTAACATTCTCTCCACTTTGAACGAAATGACGTTTGGGAAGAGATTAACATAATTAAACACAGGCAGTAAAAATACAGTTTTTAGCCATACCCTGTAACTTTAAAACTACACATCCCATCTTCATAATTACATATTTGGAATCAGCACACTTAAAACATAAACATAACCAAAAATCAGCCAAATCCATCCAGGGGTTAAAAAGTTAGCTGGAGGTCCCTTTATGACCGACCGCAAGCACATTTTCCTGCCCAAAACAGTTCCATAGATTTGGGCTGTGAGGTCGGTCTATTTCAGGCTGAAAAAACGACTAAGTCCCATCGCCGAATGGGACTTAGTCTCTGCAGCTGAAATAAGGCTGAAAAAAAGGCTGAAAAAAAGACTAAGTCCCATCGCCGAATGGGACTTAGTCTCTGCAGCTGAAATAAGGCTGAAAAAAACGGCTGAAAAAAAGACTAAGTCCCATCGCCGAATGGGACTTAGTCTCTGCAGCTGAAATAATTTCCCATTTACTGAACCAAGTGGGAAATAGCAAGGCAGGCACAAAGGGTTTGCACCAGGTCTGGGGACACAGGGGACACCGTCTTAAAGGGGCCGTGTCCCCAACAAGTCTGGGGACACGGCCTTAAAGGGGCAGTGTCCCAATCTTCCTGATGTCCCAAAAAAGGTGTTTAAAGGGCCAGCACCAGTCACATAAAGAGTCCATAAGCCCCAATATGCCCACCGACAGTCTTAAAGGGCCATACACACCAAATAAAAGTGCATACATTTTCACAATCTCCCAGGGGCCATAGTCATGCGGGAGGAGGCTGGCAAGTAGGCTTCTCCACAACCCAGGGAAGCAGGGCAATTTGCCATTTAAAGGGCCCGTTACAAATAGCAGTTTGTAACAAGGTGTCAATCCATATCTGCCAAGTGACCCGATGTAGGGGGACCAGTCCCTATTCTGCTCTGTGTCAGTGTGTATCAGGGAACCTTAGGACAGGTGTCAATCCATATCTGCCAAGTGACCCGATGTAGGGGGAACAGTCCCTATTCTGCTCTGTGTCAGTGTGTATCAGGGATCCTTAGGACAGGTGTCAATCCATATCTGCCAAGTGACCCTATGTAGGGGGACCAGTCTCTATTCTGCTCTGTGTCCGTGTGCATCAGGGGCTCTGAGGACAGGTGTCAATCCATATGTCAAGGTGTCAATATGTCATATGTCAGGTGTCAATCCATATTCATTGTGATTTAGGAATGTTAGGTGATTTCTGCCCTTTATGGATTAAAACCAGACTCTGTATCAACTGTGTAATTTTCCATGGGAGTTTTGCCATGGATCCCCCTCCGGCATGCCACAGTCCAGGTGTTAGTCCCCTTGAAACAACTTTTCCATCCCTATTGTGGCCAGAAAGAGTCCCTGTGTGTTTTAAAATTCGCCTCCCCATTGAAGTCAATGGCGTTTCGGGCGGTTCGCCGGTTCGCGAACATTTGCGGAAGTTCGCGTTCGCCGTACGCGAACCGAAAATTTCGGGTTCGCGACATCACTATTGCTATATGACTATATCAACCATTATCCTAGTAGAAAGTGACAAGATAGAAACTATAGATAAGTAAAACCTAGAGGGCTACTTTTGGAGCAGTTGGAAAGCCTGGAAGGACTCTGCTTCTATCCAAGACCAATATGAATTATGTTAATGTACTGCCATTATGGAGTCAAGAAGGATTGCTTTCCCTAATTGTCTCCAAATATTGTTTTTTTAACTTTTGGTTCAACTGTATAAAAAGATGTGTTTAATTCTTAAATCTGATGTCTTTATTCAAGTTTTTAAATGAGGTATCATTTCAGAGTGCTATTTCTGCCCTTATTACCCCATACTGGCAATATTTATTGATCAGAATTATTGAGCAGCACAGTTTGAAATGATCATTTTAAATCATGGTATTTGATTTCTACCAACTACTGTGTGTTAGTTTATGTAATATAAATATATATATATAGAGAGAGAGAGTGAGAGAATAATGATAAATAAAACAAATTAGCCACTGCTACAGGTGGATGGGGGATTCTGATTAGGCTAGATCCACAAGTGTCCCCTCCAAAAAAAGAGGGTCTAAAATACATAATTATTATTATTAGTCCTGAGTCCAAAGACCTGGTGCTGACCAGGGACCTGAAGGCTATGCAGAATACATGCTGTGCATATATTTCTCAATGAAGTTCCATCACTCATCCTCACAACCAGCCTCCCTCCACACATGCTACCTCACTAGCAGCCTAGTAAGCATAGAAATCTAGCATCTGATTGTGGTAATAAAAGGGATTTTATTTAAACAAATTTCTTATTGTATAGCTGTTGTATGGATGCAATATCATTGTGACTGCATTTATCCCTAGCAACAAATCTAAATGGTATCTACCTCACTGCATATGTCAAGGTGACCATGTTTTTTTCAGCGAATACATTCATACATGAAATATTTCATATTTTTTGTTTTCACGTATATTTTATATATATTACATATTTAAGTAAATATTTAATTTAAAAAAAATACCAACGTATTTACATGTTGTTTATGATAAATGCCATGTTATGGTAATGAATGCATTGGAACCCAAGTTAGCGCCTGGATTTACTGTGGTTTTAATGCTTCTGTTTACCATTTAACGACAATGTTGGAAATTATTTCATCCAGGTTGGGTGAAGCTGGACATTTGATAGACAGATCATTAAGGATAGCATGTTTCAGTCAACGCACTTCCACCATCAGACTTGGGGACATCTCAAGCAGAGAGTGTACAGGAAAAAGATAGCACCTACAAGTTGTTGCAAAACCTTGGTTTCTATGTATTAATTTCTGAACAAATTAGTATCTTTAAATTCTGTCTCATTGCCCCATCTGGCTGTGGCATGGATCCTAAACAGCAATGATTTACTCCACTGTTTTGGATTGACTACTTTACTCCTATGACCAACCAACCCCTTCCTGCCCCAATCCGAAGAATGAGCAGAATACTACTGAATTACTCTTAATATTAAGGTAGATATGTCTGTACTGATTAACAATTGCATCATCAATGGTATAGTCATGCATCATACTTATTCAGTTCATTCACAGCTCTCACATTGATTCATAATGCAGTAAGAATATAACACTACATTTTAAAAGCATACCTTTGTGTAGAGTCTGGTTGTCCTGTGCACTAGGCCTCACATATGTGGATGTGCTTGGTTTGAAGCTGTATAATGAAGACATAAAATATCCTTTAAGGGTGTTCAACGTGATTTGATGAAATGTAGGAAAAATTGCACTCTTGGATTTACTGTAGATAATTCCATTTTAGTCTTTCTCTTTTACATATTTCTTTAAAATCCTGGCATTAAATCTCCAAGCAGATCGACCAGCTAAGATTTGTAAAAGTAGGCAGAAAATCTTAAAAGTCTGATCGGATTTTTTTCACATTATCCACAAAAGGAGTTTAAGAAAGTCTAATGGAAATTTTTTTTTTCCTTGCTCCTTATATAGCACAAAAGATTTAAAAAATGTTGTCACGCCATGAAAAAATGCTAAACGTTTTTAAAAATTAAGATTAACCCTGACTGAAAACAGGGCTAAATTTAATTGCTACATCTGTTCTGTTGAAACGTTTGGTTATTTGCTATAAACGTGGAAGGAGTTTCTTATTACTTTATACAAATCAGTTTTCTTATTATAGTGTCTAAGTATAAATTACATCTGGATGCCATTTCTAGAGAGAGAGAGAGACAAAGTTGATATGCTGTAATAATTCTCTTCGGGTTCTAAAAGAGTACTAAATTGAGCTTTAATAAAATATCTAAATCAATATATCTATAGGTGTTAATAAATTAAGGCTCACATATATATAAATAAGTATACATTAATTTCTACAAAATAAAAATGTTTCCTGCTAGGTTGAAGAGCACCAAATTCACTGCACATTACATTTTCTTTTTATCATTACTTTGTCCACAGATGTAATTTTCTATATATTTTTTATCTTTGTGTGGAAACATTTTACAGAAAAGTATTATAACTATGTAGCAATACAAAAATGAAAAGTTAATTAACCTTATTTAATTTGCATGGATCGGATGAATAGAGCAACGCTTTATTTATTTATCCCAAATATCTTTGTTTAACAAATGTCTCAATGTTTAGTACTCCTCCTCTTCCTCCTGGAACAACTTCCATTTTATACCCAGCTTTCAAAAATAAACTTTATTCCAATGGAGATAAAAAAATATTAACATTAACATTTCTCTGTTATAAAATATATGCATGATTTCCAATACTGTAAAAGTTACGAAAAAGTGTATCAGCAGAAAATACAGTGTAACTGTCAAAGAGGTCTAAATTCTCTTTGTGAAATATAGAATCTGTTTGTTAAATTTTGTTGGCCATTTTACACTTTTGTAGTGCTTATTCTACAGATCTGTTTCTCTGTTGGTATCCAAGCACAGAGCATACAGAGATTTTCTTAGATCCACATTGCTCTTTGCTTTAAGATTGGTTTTCTCTAAAGTACTAGTGCCATTATTGATGCCTTCAATGTTCTCCAGGTGCACCACAGACTTATTGAAGGAGGACTTGCTTGGGCTTCTCTTAAGGTCACCTGCACAGCTGCCCTGCCCACTGCTAGGCTCCTCCTTGAGGATCACCTGTTCATCATGGTCTGTTTCTCGGTGATAAAAGTAGTTAAAGTTGGAAACAATGACAGGAACTGGCAAAGCAATAGTAAGCACACCAGCGATGGCACACAAGGAACCAACAATTTTACCCCCAACTGTCACAGGCCTCATGTCCCCATAGCCCACTGTAGTCATAGTTACCACAGCCCACCAGAAAGCATCAGGAATGCTAGAAAAATGAGACTCTGGGTCATCAGCTTCAGCAAAATACACTGCACTTGAAAAGAGTATGACTCCAATAAATAGGAAAAATATCAACAATCCTAATTCCCTCATACTAGCTTTCAATGTTTGTCCCAGTATCTGGAGTCCTTTAGAGTGTCTGGACAATTTAAATATTCTAAAAACTCTTACCAAGCGAATGACCCTGAGAATGGCCAAAGACATGGCTTGTTGCCCATTGTTAGTTTGCTGCTCAGCCAGTTCGGTCCCTAAAGTGATAAAATAGGGAATAATGGCTACAATGTCAATAATGTTCATGATATTCTTAGAAAAGTCAGATTTGCTTGGACAGGCAAAAAATCTGACAAGTAGTTCAAATGTGAACCAGATGACACAGGTAGTCTCAATAATGAAGAAGGGATCTGTGAGGCCACTCAGTGGAACAGGCTGCTGGGTGTTGTTCAGAACCTTGGACAGTGCTGGAGGAAGCTCGTTTTCATCCCTGAACTCTGGAAGGGTCTCCAAGCAGAAGGTGATAATGGAAATAAGTATAACTAGTACAGATACTATGGCAATTCCCCTGGCAGAGCTTGAACTCTCTGGGTACTCAAAAATCAACCACACCTGACGCTGGAACTCATTTCGGGGAAGGGGCTTCTCCTCATCCTTGAGGAAACCCTCATCTTCTCTGAACCTCTCCATTGCTTCCTCCCCCAGCTCATAGAAACGAATTTCATCTGCAAATACATCTATGGAAACATTGACTGGCCGGCGGATCTTGCCCCCCGACTGGTAGAAATAAAGAATGCCATCAAAGCTGGGCCTGTTACGATCAAAAAAGTATTCATTCCTGAGGGGGTCAAAAAACCTCATTCTCTTTTCAGGGTCACCCAGTAAAGTATCTGGAAACTGGTTGAGAGTTGACAGTTGTGTTTCAAACCTTAGTCCAGCAATGTTTATGATAACCCTCTGGTTGCTCTCATGGTCCATGGTACCCAGGTCAAAGTGGGGGTCCTCGTCTTCCCCAGGATGAGTTTGGTGTGTATGGGGTTCCTCTTCATCCACTCGGATAACTGTATCAATACCAAAATCCTTATTATTAGTGCCAGGATGGCTCATGATCATCTTGCTGCTTTGCAAGTGATTGCCCACAACTCCTCCACCTTCTCCTCCTTCTTGGCTGGTCCCTGGTGGCTGATATTGCTGTTGAGTTTGTGGTCGCTGCTGGCAGCTATCCTCACTGTCGTCTTTCTCTTGGCTGTAATCGTTCAGCCAAGATGGTGCCCTGGGGATTTGGAGCAGATTTCTCCTGCTTGCAGTGCTGATTGCCATACCAGAGCTCCCATCCTTCCCAGTGCCAGCAACAGCTGGGACTCCGTTCTCCAAACTCACCAAAGCAATCTCCATTCCAGAATCATGAAATAGTCATCAGCCCCAATCATTCTGCAGGATTGTCACAAATCCTCCTCCCCTCACAGAATTAGAGGGGGAAGGGGTTAGTGGTGAGAAGCAGAACTGAAGACTCTCCAAAATGTATGTACTGACGACGAACTCCTCAGAAAGTATGACCAGTGCAAATCTCTGTGTACACAAATAACAAAAGGAGAGGGAATCCGGATGAGAGACCAATCATTACTCCTGACGTCAAAGATGCAATTTTTCCCCATCCATAGTTACCAAGCATCTCTCTAAAGCAGATACCTCCCTCTTCAGCATGCAATCTGTTTCCCTCTCTCCTTTTTTTCGACTGTATTCCTTCTTCTCTCCCTCCCTCCCTCTCTCTGTCAGTTCTGTATGAAAATAGGAGAGAGACACGCTATGAACTGAGTGGGCGTCCCATGCACTTCCTACATCAGATATGTGACAGGTACCAAGGGAAAAGGATGATATATCTTAGAGACCATGTACAGAATTTGTGTGGATGTTATTTTAAGCTTTATTCATCTCAGCTTGGGAGGAGTTAATGCTGCATTTTTCTGTTAAGAGGTTTTCTATTTCACTGTCGTTTCTGTAGCAATGTAAAGTATTTGAATGGTGTGTCTAAGTTTGTCGATTTAAGTGCCTTGGCAAAGAATAATAGGACAAGACATTATATAAAGATTTACTATTTACTATTTTACTGTGAGATTTCTTTTTTATTGAATAATAAAGTGAGTTGCAAAATGTTGCCAAATAGTGTGGGTATTTTACCTGAAATTTTACAATTTGCTTTTAAATTCACTACAATTAAGTGTTTAGTAAAGAAAAGCCTCTAATGTTACAAATTCATTCTGGTTAGTGTATTACAGTATTGGAACCTCTATTGCCCCAAACAAAGCTATGTACGTCATCAGTAAATACAAATTAAAATATTTGCATGAGAATGTAAATCATGATCTGTCAAAGAAAAAAAAAAAAATCACACAACAACTGCTGTTTAAACTGGGATTGCCATTAGGCAGGGAAAGAGTTAATAATTTATGGGCATGTACAGTATGAGAATAATATAACCAAAAATAATTCAGGGATAATTAATAGTGCTGGTTTTCTCCCACGCAAAATAACGTATGCCTTTTAATTTATTATCTTTTTTTTAGCCCTATGGAAAAGAAAATTGATTGGTAGAGTTGAGGGATAGCAGTGTTTAAAAAAAGCTTAACATGTCACTGCCATTGAATGCTTTACAACCCGCGTGGGAAAGAGAGTTTCCTGGAGCTAGGTTTTCAATTACCACAAGATAAAACATTGAACTTTTCAAAATCCAGCATTTCGGATTGAGCCTAGTTTTTCAGTCAGAAAAAAACCCAACACACCTGCTAATCCATAGTCACCTGTTAAATCTCCTTTCCCTAATTTGTCTGCTGAATGTAAATAGTAAGGTCACATTGTTTAGAAAGCTAAGGCTGACCTTGAACATTAACTCTCTAATTACCAAAACAGAATAAAACACTGCAAATGCAAATTATTCTGGTATAAATGGAATGTTTTTGGAAATAAAAACGATACCCTCATAGAATTAATATATTCCAAATATAAATGATACATTCATAAAATTCATATATTCACATATTTAGAAACACTCATTATAGTGCTAATGTCAGGACTTTTACAATCCTGAGTAGTGTATAACATGGTTAACATGTCTGAAACTAAAAGTAAAAAAAAGGTTAGTTGGGTCTCCACTTCGCTTTATTTTAACCCTTTAAGGACCAAACTTCTGGAATAAAAGGGAATCATGACATGTCACACATGTCATATGGCCTTAAGGGGTTAAGGGTGGGGATACGGGGAGGCCAGATCTTTGCAGGTCTTTTTAGCAACTGGGTATGCTAAAAAAAAAAAAGCTCACTAGTCTTTAGTTGTTTAGTAGACATGCCTCCAACAATTGCATGGCAGCTGAGAGCATAAGGGAGTTTTAAACCTCCTTTAGAGCACTATGAGCGTTATAGGCTTTTATTTTACACTTATATAATGGGACGGCTGGCTAGCAAGCACTGGCCAGCTGCCACATGGTTAACCCTAAAAGCGCCATGGTTTTTTTGTAGCTATTTGCCCACTGACTGGTAGTGCTGCCAGTGGACAAATAGTACTTAAAATTATCATTTGCTTGAAAAAAAACAAGTGAACAATAATTTGCAAGTATGCATCCTGCTGGAGGTATTTGGCCCTGAATTTTTTTAAATCGGTGCTCTATAAATATTCTGATTCCTATATTTTGTTAAGGGTCCAGATATAAAATGAATTGATGATAAACTGAACACCGAATGTATCCGGTGAATTACTGAAGATTCGGTCAGGTTGGATGAAATCTGACCGGAATTAGCTTTACTAAATATGAGAATTGTCATTCCGGTTGAAATTAGGCAGTGTTCACCGGATTTTGTCCACTCGGGCAAAATCTGGGGTCTAGTGAATTATCCTGTAAATATTTATATTCTTATTAAATGTGATTTTTTTTTAATTGTTTATTTACTTTGCTAATTGTCTTTATACTATTCTCATTTTTATATACTATCTATCTATATATATAAGTTAAAGAAAGGGAAAGCTGCACTTACGGTCTTCCATAAAAATTCAATTTATTAGGTATGCAGTAGAAGATCGACGTTTCAGTCCTACAACAAGGACTTTTTTCAGGATCAAACATGTTTCATGACTGTAAGTGCAGTTTTCCCTCTCTTTAACCTGGATAACCTCAACCCTGTCTGGCACCTGGCATTTATACCTGTTTAGTCTGTGTGCAAAGACCATTTGCTTTTATTTATATATATATATATATATATATATATATATATTATATATACAGTATAATGTTTATAGTACAATAAAAATGTAGAAATGAAAAATAACAATAAAATAAATTATTAAATGTATTAAAGACTCTGGGAAGCTGTTTTCAAATTCCAGTTTGCAAGTGTGATAATGTGTAACCCATTTTCTCTCTTACAGGGTCGCTCCAGGCACCATGATTACTTCAGTGATTTGAAGTGCTCATCATACTTTCAGTCTGTATGCACAATAATGCCCCAGTAATGCTGCCAGAGTTGGAGTTACACTTCCAGCAGGAGGAAGGTTAAACTATGCACATACAGGCACCATGACCAAATCAATTCACTGAAGTGGTCATGGTGCTTGGTGTAAACCTTGATGTACTTTGTGAACTCGAAGAGCATAATGGCAATCCTCCACAATATATAGAAGAGCACTCTTTACCCACAGACAGGCAGCAGCTGTCACCAAGGACTTGACAGGGTGAACAACAACAAGAGAAATTGTAAAATAAAGCCCAATAATACTATAATAAATACATCAGTATGTAAAGATTATGTAGAGCCAATTGTTCTTTTAAAGGTTTACTCCAACCCTGGCTGGACTGGCTCACCTGGATACCGGGAAAATTCATGATTGGCCGCTCTTATCCTGGGCCGGTGCCATTTTACTGCACTAGGAGAGAGACTCCCCCTAACGCAGCACTGTGACACTTC